CAAACATAAAATACAAATATTATTAAACATACTCAAATTGATTTTGAATTATAAAATATAATTTTATAGTAAATAACTATTTTCTTATTGCTTTATCACAAAACCTGTTGACTCCTGCTTTGCTAAGATAATAAAATATCTTAAATGGTTCCTGTAAACATGTTACTAGTTTAAATATCCTCCAGTAAGTTAATATTCAATTCAAAGAGTGTGATTTGGTTCCTATAACTAATTAAAACATACTAGAAAAAGGTTATACTCAAAGCAATCTTAAAACCAGTGCCTAGAGAATGGATTAAAAAGTACATGATTTTATACCTCTTACATACCTATAGTATTAATCATCATATGCTCTAGATCATTCACACATACACAATTATTCTTTTTGCCAGTCACCTAGATGGTATTAAATACCTCAGTCACTAAATAAGGGGCCACTGTGTGGAAGAGGGAATGGCAAGCAGAGATAAGGAGAAATGGTTAATAGTTGATATTTCACAGGTTTTAGAGCATCTAGCCTCATTTCTGGGTTGATTCTTCAAATAAGAGAACCTATAAAACAAACTTCTCATGGTTTCTCCATGTGCAGAACTGTTTCCAATGGCCAGGCATTCACAGTAGTCTTATATTTAGCTGAAGCAAAGCAAATGACCCAGTTTCACTAGCATACTCCCAGGCCCAGGCTGAGTCATATCGCTGAAGCTGGGTCATAGAGCCAGCCAGCTGCATGCAGCAAACGGTGAGCTGCATGGTGCTGCTCAACACATGAGAACCGCCACACATGTGACGGCAAAGTTGTAGGAAATTTCACTTCATCAGTTTTCTGAAAGCTGGAGTCATCCAAAAACCATTTTCTCTAGTCACAGTAGCCATCCTAACATCATTGCAGAAGCACACCTACCCAAAACTGTTAGACCTCTGACACCTGGGAAATAGATACAGGGTGGCAAAGGAGCATCAGAAACCTAGAGGTCTTGTTCAGTTTATGCAATGCTGTTCCTATACCCTTAAACCGCAACTGACACTCTTCAAGTACTTACAGACCACTAACCCTGCACATTGCCACAGTCACTCACTGCTCACACAGTCCCATTTAGCCATTCCCTTCATTGGCTCCATTTTCTTTCATAGTCTGAGGCACAGGAGATAAAAGGGTTCTTCTGCTTTTTCCATCACTGTTACTCTTAATAATTTCCTTCCCTCAACCATCATGAATTTATAGATGCAGAAATTCTGGGGGTACCCATAAAACTCCCTTAGGTAACAATCAGCAGTTTAAGATCTGCAGTCAACCATGTTATGAAAATTAAGACTGGTGGAGATAGATGAATTAAATTTAGTTAAGAGCATCTGTCACTATCTTTGCTATTCTCTATGAAGTAGAGAAGTTCGATGAGAAATCATCTATTTTTAGATGTTTAGTCTCCAGTTAATCAGTAAGTTCCAAAACAGAGCAACAAGTATTCCTTCCATGTACTATAAACAATCTAAGATGACATGCAAAATGGAAAAATCACCTGTTTAAAAGACTAGCAAGCAGTTCTTCAATCTTATTTTTAGCTTCAATTTCTGATGAACATTTTTTAAGTGAATCTTCTTCACTAAAGGACTACCAAAGAAGCACAAACAAGGATTATTATAAACCCAAATAAGCATATCCAATTATCAGTGTTTATGTCAAATAAACATTCAGCAGCCTTTACTAACTCACCTCTTGTGCTTAGTTTGAGCCACTTAGTTCACTTTTATATTAAATCTTTTTATCTGCAAGTTATTGCACTCCACTAGAAAGTACACTGGAAGTCAAGAAAATTACAAAGCTCTAGTATCAACTCCAAGCTTTACTGTGAGATTACAGTGAGGCTCTTAATCCCCTAGGACTTGAATCTGAGCTTCACCTTGGGCAAGTTATTTAATCTTTCTAAAGTACAGTATCTTCATCTTAAAAAAAAAATAACAGGAGGAAGAGGGAATGAGGGAGGGAAAAAATTTTCACAAATGACAGTACTACCTACCTGGAAGGTTTGTTTTGAAGATTTAATGGGATAATTTGTATAAAGCACTTAGTAAAGTGCCTGTCACACAGGAAAAAGTCACTCAGTGTTACCTGGATGATTACACCTTTCTTCATTTCCTAAATCATTACATTAATCCAAATATAAGATTTTTAAAAATTAAAACGTTTTGCCTCCTATATAATTAAGTGGCATTCAATCAAAGTGGCTAACTTGAGATTTAAATACTAATTCTTAAGTCAGTGTAAGACTATTTATTAATCTAACACAATAAATAGCATTCTCATAGGGAAGGGAACATGTACTAACCTAATAAGCAAACTAGAATAGAAAGAACAGAGCAGTAAAACTAGAAATCTTTATCTCAAATAATGTGACAACCAGCACTCAATCAAAATAAATACCACCATCATGTACCTGAGGTGGCCCTGAGGGCGTCACAGGAGAGTGGTCCTCTCCAAAACTGAGCTTCTGGATACGCTGAGCAACTGAAATTCCTAATTCCTTTTCTAATATTTTGGATGAAAAAGCCTGAAGATCACGCACATTACTGATACCCAGTGCTTCCAGACGTTTGGCAGTTTTATAGCCAATACCTGAGCAAAAAGAGATGCATGTGGTGTTACACTAGCTTTTCTCCTTAAAACTGGCTAATTAAAATATTATATAAATACATCAACCACATCTTTTGATAGCATAATTGATATTTTGCTAAGATTAAACTTTATGAAAAATTTGGTTCTGCTGCTCAAGGCCTCTGAGTTATGAACCATCTTGAAAACCTACCAATTCTAGTATAATATAGTGAACAGACAACCAATAAATGCTGTCTTGATAAAATGAAATTTTTACCATTTGTTATATAACATTGCAGAAGTACTAAAGTTATTATTCATGTAAAGAAAGACTGTCACTAGAGCAATTAAAATTAATTACCATGTGCTAATGATTAGCTAACATGACAGATTCCTATATGCAATACTACACATTTATATCTGGAAACAGTAACCATCCCAAATACAACTTCAAGCCAGAAGAAGAACAAACAAATCTTCTCATTAGCAAAACTCCTATCACAAAGTTCTTACACTACAACTCAGCCACACGTTATCACAGGAAAATTGCTCAGGCAATTTAGTGCCCCTTTACTCCTTTCATTTAAAAAAAGTAATTCTACAGTTGTCTGTTTGCCTTGCACAGTAAAAGAATCAAAGGCAATGGGTGTGTAGGGGGATTATTAAGTGAAGTGACAGACATTTTCACAACTGAAAAAAAGGGCTGGTAACTTGGCAATAAGGAAGAAAAGAGAAAGTCTGTAAAAAAAACGAAAACAAGAATTCAAGTAAAGCCGAGTAATACACAGTCCTCAATTTATTATAACTTGACATAGTGATTATTCTTCAGAATGCAGACTCAGAGTCATCCAAAAACCTTTAACTTAACTATTATACGAAATTAAGGAAGGCAAGGCAGTGTTTAACACATTTTGGAATCCAAACATGGGTTAAAAAAGTAAAGTCATGACATCTAAACATTAAGCTTCAGTTGTCTTAGAAACTCACTTCCCCAGAACCCTATTATAACATCTTAATCCCCAGCAATGCCACAGAAGTGAAGTTTAACATAGCCATTATTGATGGTCTATGAAAACATAAGTATTTGGCCTTCAAAGATACAAACTTGCCCCATGACCTGAATAGGCCACAGAACCCCTCAAGAAAATCAGTTTTTTCATCTTTAAAATAAAAAGTTGACCTAGATGCTTTGGAAGGCCCTTTGTCGCCCTAATGTTTTATATATAATCCCAAAACAGAATTAGTGTAAAACCAACTCCCGTCTCTAGACCTGATGTACAGTCTAAGAGCATGAACCAGGGACTAACAATAAAGGACCGTGTGTTTCCAGGTTATAACATTCATGATCATGTTCAAACTACACAAAAGTAGGTGAGACTATAAAAGCACTTTCATATATTTCCTCATATAGATTCCTTTCAGAAAACATCAGCTTTTTGGGTTTTTATCAGGAGCCAAGTACACAGACTCAAAGAATTAATTACGTGTATCTGTAGTTTTTAAACTTAAAGAAATACAATAAAACCAAATATATTTGTCTTACCAGGGATTTCCTTTATGTGGTTCAAACTATGAATGAGATCTTGAGAACTTTCAGGTAATAAGACTGTTTGTTGATTTGGTTTAAAGACGCCAGAAACTAATTTTGCCAGTAATTTATTAGAAGCCACTCCAGCGCAGCCAGTGAGACCCAGCTGAACGTACATGGCTTCCCGCATCTCTGCTGCAATCTGAGATCCAACCAGCAGTCTGACGTGCAAGAGGTCACGCAGGTTTACAGCTATAAAAACAGCCAATTTGGTTAAAAGCCACCATCAAAAGGTTTAATTTTCCTTTTCACAAATGAGTTTTAAAAAGATAAAAGGCATAATTTTCACCCAACTCCACCCCTCAGCATCACGATCCTGCCACCCACTTAACTCATCTCTTTGGGTCTTCACAGGAATTCTGTAAAGTAAGTAACTACTGCAAGTGAGTTCCAAGGACCTGTGACAGTCAGTGCACACTGGCAGTGCTTAATGATTAACAGATTATGAAAGCTGATCTCTCATAAAAAACTCCTATTGGCATTAGTAGAATTTTTATTTATGTTTACCTGCAAGTAATCATAAAAGTGAAAGTATTACATTAATGAGAAAACATTACAGCTTTAAAGAGCTGAACCTAAACTTTACACACTAGTGTTATGTGCTACTGAAAACCATTTTGGATTTGTATATAGTTTAAGAGAACTTTTATTAAAAATGTAGGGAAATTATGCAGAAACAAATTTTCTTAGGTATGAAAATGATATTAGAGTTATGTAAGACAGCTGTTAACTCAGGAGTATTTATTTACATTTGAAGTGTCATGACATCTGTAATTTACTTTCTTTTTTTTAAAATGAAATATAGTCAGTATACAATGTTATGTCAATTTCTGGTGTACAGCGTAATAGTTCAGTCATACATATACATACATATATTCATTTTCATGTTCTTTTCCATTATAGGTTACTACAAGATATTGAATATAGTTCCCCGTGCTATACAGTATAAACTTGTTTATCTAATTTATATGTATTAGTTATTATCTGCTAATCCCAAACACCTAATTTATCCCTCCCTACTCCACTGTCCCTTTGATAACCCTAAGTTTGTTTTCTATGTCTGTGAGTCTGTTTCTGTTTTGTAAATAAGTTCGTTTGTCTTTTTTTTTTAGATTCCACATATAAGTGATATCATATGGTACTTTTCTTTCTTTCTGGCTTACTTCACTAGAATGACAATTTCCAGGTCCATCCATGTTGCTGCAAATGGCATTATTTTATTCTTTTTTATGGCTTAGTAGTATTCCATGGTAGAAATATACCTCTTTATCCAGTCATCTGTCAATGGACATTTAGGTTGTTTCCATGTCTTGGCTATTGTAAATAGTGCTGCTATGAACACTGGGGTCCATGTATCTTTTTGAATTAAAGTTCCCTCTGGATATATGCCCAGGAGTGGGATTGCTGGATCATATGGTAAGTCTATTTTAAGTTTTTTGAGGAATCTCCATACTGTTTTCCATATTGCCTGTACCAAATTACATTCCCACCAGCAGTGTAGGAGGGTCCCCTTTTCTCTACACCCTCTCCACCATTTATCATTAGTGGACTTTTGAATGATGGCCATTCTGACAGGTGTGAGGTGATACTCATTGTAGTTTTGATTTGCATTTCTCTGATAATGAGCAATTTTTCATGTGCCTACTGGTCATTTGTATGTCTGCATTGGAAAATTGCTTATTTAGGTCTTCTGCCCATTTTTGGATTGGGTTGTTTGCTTTTTATTACTAAGTTGTATGAGCTGTTTATATATTCTGGAAATTAAGCTCCTGTCAGTCTCATCATTTGCAAATATTTTCTCCCATTCCGTAGGTTGTCCTTTTGTTTTCTTATGGTTTCCTTTGCTGTGCAAAAGCTTGTAAGTTTAATTAGGTCCCATTTGTTTATTTTTGCTTTTATTTCTATTGCCTGGGTAGACTGCTCTAGGAGAACACTGCTGAGATGTATGTGAAATAATGTTTTGCCTATGTTTTCTTCTAAGAGGTTTATAGTGTCTTGTCTTATGTTTAAGCTTTAAGCCATTCTGAGTTTATTTTTATGTATGGTGTTGGTGGTTTGAAGTGTCATGATATTTGTAATTTACTTTCAAATAGCTCATCAATCTATCAACCAAATCTATAAATACAGCAAGATAAAGCAAATGTGGCAAAATGACAACAACATGTGAATCTACAAGGAGGGGCATAAAGACTGTTCTCACTGTACTGTTCGGTCAACTTTTCTGCAGGTTTAAAAAAAATTTTTTTAATTTTATGGGAAGGAGAAAGATTTCATAAAGAATTAGATGTTTTAGGATGTAAAACCTAGCTCTCTATAATATGTTCTAGCCAACAGAATCCAAGTTTGCTTTAAAAATTATACAGAAATGTATTTGGAATCTTATTACTACCTAGACCTAGAAAGTGACAAAGGAGCCACAGGTACAAAAGACACATGAAAAGCTTCATATCTTCTTCTAAAAGAGAACTGTAGCTCTATCCTTTTCTTCTTTAATATCAGGGAAGTGGAGAGTGACTGAAGATTGATGACACCACCTCTCAAAAAAGGGGGTAAGAGGAAGCATGTGCTGGCTGAGACTAAGGTGCAGGTAGGTCAGGGCAAGTCTTACATGAAAGCAGAGTAGCTTGCCTCTCTTGCTAAGAGTTGGCAAAAATAACTGAACTGATAAAAATGACTGAGCTTGCAAAAGATGGCAGGTAGGCCTGGACAAGCTTCCACAAGGGGTAACTTGGGAAGTTAGAAGGCAAAGCGGGGCCTTGGTGCTTTGGGGGAATAGAAGGGAACAAGTGAAAGAGGCAACAAAGGCAAATTTAGTCTACCTAAAAGTTTGCTTAAAAATGGTTTTAGGAGAATAAAAATTACTCTAAAAAGCCAATTCCTGTAACTTCACGATCACCTAAAGAAGTATGACACCTTTAAAAATACCATTTTTAAAAATGGTAACACAGGACTGTGTCAGAGAAATGAGAAGTGCACAAAGCACAGAGCTACTTGTCATCAAAATCTCATTTTCTGCCTATTTACTATGGAAAAGCACTATCTAATTTTTGTTCTCTTAGATTACCGAAGTATGGCTATACCACCAACAAAAGCCATAAAACTTTCAGAAAGACACTGTCACCACATTGAACTGATTGAACATTAAGAAATGTAGATATTTCTAGTTACTAAATAGAATGAATAAGAACCCACTTACCCTGATTATTGTACACGTGACCGGACACAGTCAGTGCTGCAAGCTCGTCACTTTGAAGCTGCTGTAGTCTCTTCCCCACCAGTTCTGTGAGATCCACAAAATTTTCATCGAACCCAAGTCTCTCAACAACTGGACTAAATTCTTCCAATAACTCTAAATTAAAATAATATTGGAGCAGAGATGTAACTGATTATAACTAGGATAGATTTAACTCTTTTATATTTAAAAAATAACAGATTATGTTAAAGATTTTACATATATTCACAGTTCCACAATATCTTTAATAAGGTCCTCAGTTAACTGGGATTTTTTTTTTCTGCATCACATTCTGAGTAAAGGCAGTATTTTCCAACAAAATAAGTCCAATAATAACATTTCCTGGGCAGATACTCATCACAATATATTTAGCTCCATCTCCTATACCTGTAATTTTTCTAGCTATAGTACATTAAATATCAAAGCTGTAGGTCAAAGAAGAAATTATAGTCTGCTTAGAAAAGTGAAAACAAGTAATATATTTTAGCTATATTCTTCACAATAATTTTTAAGAGGCAAAACAAAATAAAATTTTAAATTTCCAATTAATACTGAGTCAAAAAGAAAAGTCATTTAATTTTCAAAATACACTACAATGCAGTATTTTGATTTGTCATCCTTCAGCTCATTCCTTACGGGCAGAGATAGACCATGACTTACATGTATTTGAATGTCCAGCATCAAGCACAGTACCTAGTTCTCAAGTCAAATGTTTACTAAATTAAACTGAACCAAAATTTGAAATAAGTTCAAAAAGACTTATCAATTCTCATTTTTAGGATTAAAAGTAGTAACTTAGAAATCACTGAGAAAAATTCTCACTTCTCTCTGAATCACCTATTGATACTAGCTGGATGGCATAGAACAAATTATTAGCCTCATTATATAAAAATGCATAGGTTCTTGAAGTCTTATGATATGAAAGCTCAGAAACCAAAGAGCTATGTCATTCCACAGAGGTGACTTTTTTACACAAATACTAGAAATACGTTCTGTTCTATTGATGCCAACACTGACAACACCAGGGGAAAACAATAAATATAACAACGTGATATGGTAACCACCAGAAAATCACTTCCGACCCTCCTAGACAAAACCATTTATCTACTCTGAGGAATACTGAGTGTGTCTGACAACATAAAAGGATCCTTTTGAATTTCCCTCATCAATTTCTATTTTTTTCCCCAAAAGTATATACCTGATATCCAGCAGTAACAGATAGAAAATAAAAGTTTATCAAAACAATACTATATAATAAAAATAAAGGACAAGGTTTTAAGTACTAAGCTGAAAAGCAAGTTAAATAGAAAATCACGTACAAAGCTGGTGGATCACTGAATAGTGATTGATCCTATTGGTTCTATTACTAGGTCACAGGAATAAATCACTTATCCCACTCCCAAAGTTAACCTCTTTTTGTCAACGTCATAATCAAGATGCATTTATTAAACATATGATTACACAAGGCCAAAGAGAGGAGTCTGTAATTAGAGAAAAAAGCTATCTAGACAAAAATGTATATATACTGTAGAAAATATGAAATAGTAAGGTTATACATCATAAACAGGTCTGAGATAAGTGCAGCTTAGTATCAGAAAACTCAATACACATTTCTGCATCTTGCCTTTTATTCACTTAACGACAAGGCCTATTTCTATGAGTCAAATAGTACAGCACCAAAGCTACTCTTTTTAATGGCCATATAATAGTCCATCCTAGAGAAGTCGGTTTATTTAGCCATTCTCATCCTGATGAGCATTTGTTTTCATTCCATGCTAAAATTATGAACCATGCTACAATTAACATTTTCCTACATATATCATTATTTTATTTCTATTAGATAAACCCTCAGCAGTGATCCTCCTGGGTTAAAGAATATAGTATGTATCTTTAATTTCAAAAAATGTTTCCAGATTGCTTAAAAAAGGCTGTAATACTTTGTTTCTACTTTTTCTCACATTCTTAATTTTTTTACAAGTGTGATGGATGTAAAAATAATTCAGATTTCCTTAGCACTAATGAATTTGAGCATTCTTTTTCTATACTGTTGGACACTGGGTTTGCTCTTTTTGTCAACTGCCTACTCATATACTTTGTCCATTTCTCCTGAATTTCTTTTTCTTGGTAATTGTCAAGAACTTCTGGATACTTAACTGCTACAAATAACAAAAGAACAAATAAACATAATAGCAAAAATTTAAATAAAAAGCTGATTCTTATACATTTTAAAATTGTATCTACTTGCCACATGCCAGTACACATGTGGTTTCACTTTTCCTGTAATTTACTAAAACACTAAGATTCAAACCCGAACCTTAGTAAGCGGGAGTTTATCTGTAATGCTAAAATATATAGAAAATCTTAGAAAATATTAATATACCCATTATCTTTGCTAATAGTTCCTAACCAGTTTTTAATTATGTTAAACATCACTGAAGCCTCTCTCAATGACCATTAGTGCATTAGAGTACAGCATATTTCTTCATAATTCATTTAAACTTGACATTTAAATTAAAAATTTTAAATATCTGGTTTTCTTTGGTATATCTTCTCCCATTTTCTTCTTTAAATTTTTAAAATATTTTCTTATATTTATAAAAACACCAGTCATGACAGAGTTCAAATTCCTTCCAACTATACATTTTTTTGTCACCATTATTCAGTTTAAGTCATCCTCATGTAAATGTTTTTTTAAAGTGGGAAAGACCAAAAATAAAAGGAACTGACTTATGGCATTTTATATTTATTAAAAGATGCATGTAGTTAACGAGCATCCTATATAAAAATTAATGCTGAAACTACATTGCCCATAATCTGTACCTGTAACCTTATATGACATCTCTCTGTAACGAGTCAAGTCTTCTCCATTAACTAATACTAGCTGTGGACACTTTTCTTTAGCATCTCTGACATTCATAAGTTTCTTAACTCCAAGCTTCCTAGCTTCATAGTTGCAGGTAACCACCAAATATTTCTGCTGAACCCCTGTAAAAACAAATAAAATGTTTTATGGAAAAACTGAACAGGACTGAAGAAACATCTTAAAATATAATTTACCAATTCCATATTATAAATGTAAGTTGTAATGCAATCTGTTTAGATAAGAATAAAAAGCTCTCAGTTAAAAAAAATAGCCTCTACTCATAAAAGTCCTATGAAGTATGGTTTAACAAAAACGACCACAAACCAACAGTTCTACGGCGTCTTCAGCAAAAAGGCACAAATAAAATTCTTCTAGGGTTGTTTTCAGACAATAGAAAACCAAACTAAGTTATACTAAATTAACTCTATATAACTTTATATATAACTGTAGACCATCTTTTACCAAAAAAAAAAAAATAAAGCAGATGAAAATAACTGAGTACAATTAACTGGTGGCTGCTTGACATCCTCCCTTATCTTCTGAGTAACTTTCTAAAGAATTTCAAGCAAGGTTCTGTTACAGCTGCCAACCTACAGCAGTTATTAGGGATCTCCCCCAGTAAACGTTCTAAGTACTGAACTGTTCTTCACAGTAATCTGCAGAAAAGATTAGACAGTGGGGTGGAATGAAGAGCCCCCTCCTTATCAGAAAGGATTAAACTATGATCATGTACAGACTTTAAAACTTCTAGTTTATTGGTGGCTTAAAACTGCTAAAATTATTTGCTTTTCTCTTTACACAAGCTGACTACTTGTTCACCACGATTAAAGTAACATTCACCTAAAATACGTAAAACACAAACATGTAGAGGGAAAGAAAAGGTTATGTCCATTCCCCTAATGTAAGACATTTTGTTTCTAAAATTTTGATATTATAAACCAGGCAAAGAAACATTATTTCATTATTTTTGATATGTTTATACCCAAAAATAGAATCATGAGGTCAAAAGTAGTAATTTATGATTCATCAGTTAACTATATAAAAAATCAGATTAGTAACTTCAACTGAAAAAAAGTCTTTTAACACAGAATTATAAGGACTCACCACTATGTCACCAGCCCAAGTACTCATTTATTTCCTAAGTACAAATGAAAGACTATGTTCACTTTCTCTCCTAGAAACTTTCAGCATCACATCCTGGTAATCATTCATTCCTGCATCTTAATTACACAATACCTTTCTATTAAGCATTATTTACAGAGCACCTTGTTACAATGCTACTAATTAGAAATACCTTTAGGAGAAAATTTAGGTCCCCTTATCCTCAGTCCTTGACACCCTTAGGAAATTTTAAAGATCCCAGACTGACTTTGGCAAAACTAGTAATCAGTCATCCCTTTGTTCTTTAATAAATCAGCTTGGTTGGGTTGAATTAGGATTTATCAGAACCAAAGTAGACATCAAAGCAGCAGGTGAATAAAATTGCTCTTTATGCTTATATTAAAAGATAAATCCTTACTACACACATAAAAGAAACTTTCATAAATTTACTTTTCCAGTTTAAGATATAAGAAGAAATGTTAAAATAAGCCAACTTAATAGTAAGTAAATCCTCAATGTAAAATTTCCCTTTGCCTTTTATTTTAAAAGGTACTTACGTTTTTTATGGAAAGCTTGTACTATATGCCTTAATATTTTAGGTTCTGTTCAAAATTCAACTGTTTTGTCAGATGTTACACAATTCAAGAGTTATGGGGAGAACAGATGAAATTTTCCATTAAAATTAATACAAGAGGATGTTCTTGAAGTAAGGTGGTGGTAAAATTTCAAACACTGAGAAAACGACTAAATGTTTATTATGGTCTTCCTGTTCACTTATTTGGCTGGCTCTACCCACCATGTCACATTCACCATTTGTTAAACGAGGCTTATGAAGTTAACACCTGGTAGTGAAGCAAAGATAATTGTCCATAAAGCATCACAGAACTGCTTCCAACATTTACCAATATGATTAATAAATCAGAATATAATAAACATAATAATGAATCCTATTATACAATGAAAATAGTATCAAAGTCCAGAATTACCTAAAGGCTTGTCCTTAAGTTCTGGATTTGAGATCATTTCTACTTGTGCATAAAAGCAATCCAGATCCACGTGTACTATGACTCTAGATGAAGAACTTCCTGCGGGTACCACTTGATCATGAACTGCAGCAAATTATGCAAAGAAATACAAAAATACTTTCAGGCTGCTTATCATCTCTGAGCAATTGCCAGATCCCTAAAACATGGTAACTGAGAAAGAATACAGGGTAACTTTTAAAATTTTTCCTGGGTTTATTACATGTGTCAAAGAATCTGAAAATTAGACATGAGAAACTCCATCTACAGTAGGGTCTTCAGTCTGGTTTACTTAGCATTTCTTTATTTACTGTTTTTTTTTTTCAGAATAGTAATAAAGTTTAGGGGGAAAAAATTTTTAACAAGGGAAGATGCAAGGGGTAATCCTATCACTTGGAAGTTTATAGTAAAATTTAGAGTAAATTGGGAGTAGAAAAGCTTGAACACTGATTTTCAACCAACGTAATTGTTGTAAGTGGCGTGTCCTTAAATTGAAAAAGTAATCTGAAATACAACACGCAGAAGACGGAACCTATGGGTCCCAGTGTACTATATTTAGCTCCCATGAGATCAGGATTATCTGAACCAGATAATGCTGAATACCCAATACCTAGAACAGAACCTGGCATATACTAGACTACCAATAAATACTTGCTAAATTTAAAGATCGAGTAAGTATCTCTTGGATTTTAAAAAGCCAGTTCATGTCTTGGGGGAGAGGGTAGACGGGTAAGACAGAGGAGATTCCAGCTCTTAACACCAATTACAAATAAGGCAGGCTAAATGCAATGTGCTATTCTGGTTTGGATCCTGGAGCAGAAAAAAAAAATTGCGGAAAAAAAATTGGTAAAATCTGAATCAAGCTTGTCCTGTAGTTAATCGTTATTATGCCAATGTTAACTTCTTAGTTTCGACACATGTTCCATGGTGGTGTAAGATACTTTTCATCTCTCCGTAAGTCTAAAATTATTTCAAAATTTAAAAGTTTTTTAAAAGGAGGTGGGGTGTGGAAGCAGGGAAGGAGCGCCCTGGCCCCAGGTCCCGGGGTTGGAGCGGTACAATGCAGGGCCCAGAAGCTGGAAGAGGGTCACCGGAGAGGCGGCCACTGCAGACGTGCCTCGTCCTCGGTTCCGGTAAGAGCCATCGCTTCCCGTCCGGGCTGAAGCCGGGCCCAACCTCCGCCAAGTGGGCGCTTCCGCAACCATTAGGCGCCCCGCTACCTCTCCGGCTTTC